ACTCTTAATACCCTCAAAAATAGGACAGTGACTCTCAAAAGAACATTGGGACTACTAAAGATCAGTCCTCAGGGTATGTTTTCTTTGTTTGCATCCTGGTCCAGAAATTCTGGGTGGTTTTCTAGGAAGGAAAGCACTTTTTGATAGATACATTAATAGAATTATAGATTTGAAAAAGGCCCTAGACATGGTCCAGACTACCCCCTACCACACACAGAGGAATTCTTTATGTAATTTGCTTGACAGATGATTATGCTTTTTCTGCTCAGTACTTTTTTTTTTAAGATTTTATTTATTTGATAGAGCGAGAGAGGGAACACAAGCAGGGGGAGTGGGAGAGGGAGAAGCAGGCTTCCCGCTGAGCAGGGAGCCCATTGAGGGGCTCGATCCCAGGACCCTAGGATCATGATCTGAGCCAAAGGCAGACACTTAATGACTGAGCCACCCAGGTGCCCCATCTGTTCAGTACTTTCAGTGATGAAGATATGGCTTCATTAAGCATTGTGGGCTATTGTTGGAAATCTCAGGTTATTGAATTTCTTCCTGAGTTAAAACATCTGTCATTCTTTTTTTTTTTTTAAGATTTTATTTATTTGTCAGAGAGCACGCGCACAAGCAGGGGGTGAGACAGGCAGAGGGAGAAGCAGGCTCCCGCTGAGCAAGGAGCCTGATATGGGACTTGATCCCAGCACTGTGGGATCATGACCTGAGCTGAAGGCAGGCACTTAACTGACTGAGCCATCCAGGCGTCCCAAAACATCTGTCATTCTGTAACTTCTATTCATTGGTTCTGTTTCTACCTTCAGCATCACAGGATAAGTTTCTCTATTCTACATTTCAACCGTCAGATATTTGAAATTCACCAACCTGTCTCCCTTCAGTAGTTTCCTTTCCAGACTAAGGAATACCAATTTGTAAGACCTTTGCTCTTATGAAAAATGGCTTTTTGATCTTTCAGTATACTCTTCTGGAGTTATACATCCTTTTATTTAATGAATATCATTTAAAATGTAGAACCTGGAAATGAGCACAGACCACCAGATGTTCAGTTTTCTTCTCCAGCTTCCCTTTGAGAAGAATCACATTTAAAAAAAAAAGTAATGGCAATATATTTTGTTGACTAGAGAAAAACAAAACAATTTGCCAGGACATACAAAATTGGGGCAAGAGGAATTTGAGAAAGTATCTTTCCTTACTAGTGTTAAGGCTGAACTTTGGGTTCTACATTATTATAGGCATTGATTTTACCTCAGATCTTTTCAGGAATAATTTTTTTTTTTAAGATTTTATTTATTTGCAAGAGAGAGAATGAGAGATAGAGAGCATGAGAGTGAAGAGGGACAGAGGGAGAAGCAGACTCCCTGCCGAGCAGGGAGCCCGATGCGGGACTCTATCCCGGGACTCCAGGATCATGACCTGAGCCGAAGGCAGTAGCTTAACCGACTGAGCCACCCAGGCGCCCTTCAGGAATAATTTTTAATATCTGCATCCAGTTTACTCTTCAGATTATAAAATTCAGTTGGTATTTGTGTTTACAAGAATTATTTACATTTATGCTACTGAACTGATTTTAGGGCTTCAGATAGTTTTTTAAGAAGATAGATACGTACATGTTTTTACATAACTGAAAATCTATTATCTTTTTTAAAAAGTATTTATTTGAGAGCGAGAGAAAGTGTACGCGAGAGCTGGGGGGGAACCGGGGGAGGAACAAAGGGAGAGGGACAAACAGACTCTGTACTGAGCGCCTGACACAGGCTCCATTCCACAACTCTGAGGTCATGACCTGAGCCAAAACCTAGAGTTGGATGCCCAACTGACTGAGCTACCCAGGTGCCCCTGTTACTTTTATACATGACAACAACTTGACTGTAAGACTTGAGTAACAACCTTTTTTCTTCAAAATTCTGTAGATTTTTCATTCTTTTTTAACATTTAATATTGCAGAGCAGTCTGAGGTTGGTCCAAATTTTGTCCTTGTAATAGAATTTTGCCAGAATGTGTGCAAGTTTGGCTTTTTAAATTGATTTTGCTGCAAGAGTAGTAAACCTTTTTAATCTGCATGCAGGATCTTTTTCAGCTCAAGATATTATTCATTTATTATGTCTTAATGGGTTGCTTTCCTCCCGTTCTAGTTCCCTCAGTTTTCTTTTCAGTGCTATTAAATGGTATATCTCTCTCAATTTCTCTAATTTTCTTTTTGCTGTCCTTTTTCTTCATGTTCTAGAAAAATATCTCAGGTTTTCTTGTAGTTTACTGAATCATTTCCCACAGTTTCAGTTCTGTGCTTTTTTGACTTCTGTGTGAATTTTAATAGGTAGTGCATTTTTTGTGTCCTTCTTCCTTTTTAAAAAATGTCATATCCTCATATCCTTTTGTCTAAGTTCATATCCTTTCATTTCTGCCTGTTTTCTTCTTAATGCTATCTCTTCCTTACTGGCATACGTCATTTATCCTGCTCCCTATGACAGGTGAGAACTGTCATAAGCTCTCTGAGCACTATCATTTTTATGTACTTTATATTCTTTCCCCCAGAGTCTCTCTTCCATCACAGTCCTGTTTTCTAGAGGAAGCTTATATTTGTTTGTTTTGTTTTTTAGAGGAAAGTCTTTTGAAAGTTTTGTTTTTCCAAGGTTAAACAAACGTATGGTTGTTTTAATGGTTAAATTACATACTGATAGTGCAGCTTGGGAGGAAAGTGGGTGGGTCTTAAGTGAATGTGAATGTGTTATGTTCTAAGCCTTGCCACACAGTTGCAAAGATTGCAGAGGTAATAAATTATGATGTTGGAAAGAACTATGGTTTAATGATGCACTATAGTGCAGATTCAGTTGGCATTCCCTTTTCTAGAAATGCTCACTGTCCCTCATAATAGAATTATTTCCAGTACCATTTTCCACTGCCTTATTCACTTATTTACTGCTATATTCCCATCACCTAGCACATAGTAGGTAATAAATACAATTTTTTTTGAATGAATGAACAAAGATGTGCTATAGTAATATTTACTGGAGGCCAAGTCTTCTTAGGTGGTATTGAGAATTCCAAACATTTCAACAAAAATTTCTTTAAAATTCTAGATATTTGGGGCGCCTGGGTAGCTCAGTTGGTTAAACGTCTGCCTTCAGCTCAGATCATGATCCCAGGATTCTGGGATTGAGCACTGTGTCAGGTTTCCTGCTTAGGGAGTCTGCTTCTCCCTCCTGGCCCCCCACTCACGCTTTCCCTGTCTCTCTCAAATAAATAAAATAAATCTTTAAAATAAATACAATTCTAGATATTTTCAGAGATATCATCTCTCTGACTTCAGGGATAATGTTTCCTTTACCTTGTGGGTGGCATTTTTTCATAGTTCCTACATCAAACCCCCCCATTTGCTCTTCCTTTTATGAAGTAAGGTCTCTGTAGGCTCGATGCCAGCAATAGTTGTTCGTTTTTTTTTATTTAAAGATTTTATTTATTTATTTGAGAGAGAATGAGAGAGAGCGAGCACATGAGAGGGGGGAGGGTCAGAGGGAGAAGCAGACTCCCTGCTGAGCAAGGGAGCCTGATGCGGGACTCGATCCTGGGACTCCAGGACCATGACCTGAGCCGAAGGCAGTCGCTTAACCAACTGAGCCACCCAGGCGCCCGCAATAGTTGTTCCTAATGGTACTAAGCTCTCTACTTGTGTAAAGGATATATTTTCTTCTCATATCTACAGCTAAATGGCAAATCAGTGTGCACACCTTTCTCTCTTAAATCCCAGTTCCTAGCAAGCATTTCCTTGGGACAGCTGCTAACTTGGGACGATGTCTTCTCTTGTAACTGCACCCTGGTTCTTTGATACTGTCTTGAGAGTAGGTGAAAAAGTACAATTGGTCTTGTCTCTGTTTGCTTTTTGCTCTGTTATGAGCGTTCTTTTCTAAATGGATATAGAAAGATGGTAGACAGGGGAGTGAGCAAGAACAGAACTCTTTCGCTTTGTCATAAAGTAATACCTAGATGGTATTTGTTGGCTGCCAGGTTTTCTAGATGGTACACCCCCGAAGTCTCATGAGCCGGGAGACTGGTGTGTTATAAATTGTCTCCCTCCCCCAACCCCCCTTTTTTAGCCAATTTCTGTTTCATGTGGTGAGGCCTTGGTATTTGTCAATACTATGCCACCAATCTTATGTAAAAATGTGAAGAATTATTTCACACTCTGCTGTTAGGGGTTTTCGTAGTGTTCAGTCAGGGTAAAATTTTTTCGTGTGTGTTTATGTGAGTGTGTCTTCATAGATATTTTAGTGGGACGTGGGAGAGGCTATACTGCATTACCCTTTTCGGACATAATTTGAAACCTTGAGTTGAATAAGGCTTACTTAACTGAAATTAAGCTGATTAATTGAGGTCCTCTCTGAGGATTGTGTCCTTTAGCTACAGTATTTGTCCTCTATCCTAATGTTATATTTTTCCTAGTTCTGCTTGCTTTTTCTCTTTCATTCTTATCCAAAATAAGATTTTTCCCCCCCAAACAGTAGAATGACAAGGCATCCTTATTATTGTTGGTAGGGATAGGCCCTGTTAATAGAGGGCTTTTAAAGCCTTTGCAAGTCCATGTTCTGAGTCTCTGATAATTCAAGAAGAAGCAAGGAGAAAGGGGGTTTGAGTAAAGTTGTGCTAGAGCTTGAATCTGTTATGTGCCAGGGCCTGTATTGATTGAGGATTGCCAGCTGGCAGTGGTAGTAGAAATAAGTCTTTGGGGAATGGGAAACTAACTCTAGAGGATTCCTAGTTAAGACTTATACAGAATCCCCGGGCATTTGGAAATACTGTACTCTCCCCTGGGGAGATGGAGCGGGAATTAACTTTTCCCTGGTCCAATGTGACTTGGTTAGAAATACAATTGAACCTGTTTGTCTTGTCCATTGTGATGTGATAGCCCCTAGGAACAGTCTGTTTTGTGTGGGAGTTTATTTCAGGCTGTCTCCTTGCCTGTATTGTTTCCTTTAACAGCTCTTTAAATTTTCTTTTTCCAGCAATGATGTTGTCCACTGGGCATGTACTGACCAATGTGGCAGGTCTGAGAACATAGCTGAAGCTGAAAATAGGAAAGCTGGGGGCAAGGAAGAGCCTTGAATCTTGAGGTGGGACGTTGACTCTAAGATGTCCTTGAGCAGTGGAGCCTCCGGAGGGAAAGGAGTGGATGCAAACCCGGTTGAGACATACGACAGTGGGGATGAATGGGACATTGGAGTAGGGAATCTCATCATTGACCTGGACGCCGATCTGGAAAAGGACCAGCAGAAACTGGAAATGTCAGGCTCAAAGGAGGTGGGGATACCGGCTCCCAATGCTGTGGCCACACTACCAGACAACATCAAGTTTGTGACCCCAGTGCCAGGTCCTCAAGGGAAGGAAGGCAAATCAAAATCCAAAAGGAATAAGAGTGGCAAAGACACTAGCAAACCCACTCCAGGGACTTCCCTGTTCACTCCAAGTGAGGGGGCAGCTAGCAAGAAAGAGGTGCAGGGACGCTCAGGAGATGGTGCCAATGCAGGAAGCCTGGTTGCTGCTATTGCTCCCAAGGGCTCAGAGAAGGCGGCTAAGGCATCCCGCAGTGTAGCCGGCTCCAAAAAGGAGAAGGAGAACAGCTCATCTAAGAGCAAGAAGGAGAGAAGCGAAGGAGTGGGGACTTGTTCAGAAAAGGATCCTGGGGTCCTCCAGCCAGTTCCCTTGGGAGGACGGGGTGGTCAGTATGATGGAAGTGCAGGGGTGGATACAGGAGCTGTGGAGCCACTTGGGAGTATAGCTATTGAGCCTGGGGCAGCGCTCAATCCTTTGGGAGCTAAACCGGAGCCAGAGGAAGGGGAGAATGAGTGTCGCCCGCTAAAGAAAGTCAAGTCTGAAAAGGTAAGAGGTGGCCAGATCTGGCTGCCTACTGCCAGTCAGAACTGCCCTGGACTGACCACCAAATGCTTTGTGCACTCTGTGGGAGGCTCATTAGCTTGTGGGTAATGACCAATTACAAGGTCAGAGCAGCTGGTAATGATAATGTGGTTTTGTTCCAAATTAGGAGATTCTCTACAGATTCATTAACAGCAGGCCTGGCCATTTTGGAGAATATCTATTGTCGGGGGCAGCTACTTGGTAGAATGAATTTTCTCTTAAGTCAAGTTGAGAACCTGCCACCTCGTCCTTGTTCCACCCTCAGACACTTGTTGCTGGAGACTGGTATCAACCTGTATGTGGTCCCCAGCTTGCTGGTATTTCATCCTCAGAGTCATTGATAAACTTTATAAGTTGATGATAGGCTTTCGGTTGAGTGTTCTTTTTAATGGAATAAATGGTGCTTCTGGGTTTCTGGAAGAGAAAAGGTTAAATAAGTTTCATGGTATGATATCTACCAAGTGTTCTATTGGTGGCTACCAAGGAGCAAAGGGGCAGGTAACTAAGGGAGCAAGAGGTACTATCTGTACTAAGAGGTACTTAATCATCAGGCCTTACGAGTTAGCGTTGTGGCTATGCATGTTTGGCCTTGAAAGAGATTCTTTGGCCATTAAAGGTATAGTTCTTGGCCAAGTATCTCCCTCAAATATTGGTAATCAAAGTGTCCTGGTGGTTTAATAGCTGCCAAACCGTGTAATGATACCTTACCTTCTGCTTGAGTTGAAAGGACAGGTGCTTGCAGCCCCAGGAGGGGCTCTCCTCCTCTGGGAAGATGATCTTAGTTCATGTCTCAGGAAATAGAGGTTGCAGGGCTGGAGCAGAGTAGGTGTGAGTCTAGGGTCAGCTCAGGCTGCCTTAAACTTTAGCAGCTTACAATTTCCTGCAGAGCAGCTGGCCTGGTGATGAGCTCTTCATTGGGTCTTGATTTTTCCACTGTGTTTTGCTCACCCTGTGCTTTCAGCTGATCCCAGCAGATGCAGTATAAATTGGTTTCTCTGTAATTACATCAGCTGCAACAGGGAATACCTATTTCCATATATAAGTGTTAATAAATAGAGGCTGCATGTGTATGTTTGTGTGGTGGTGCCCTCTCCGTGCCTGGATTCCGGTGGTAGGCTGTGCTGTCTTTGCTGTAGGTATTTTGGTCTTTGCCTCCGGCACATCTGTAACTCTTAGCAACATCTGGGCTTCCCTGGTAACAGGGCTGTGAATTTTCTTCCACTGATAACACAATGGTTCATTCCCTTTCACCAGTGGCAGCTGCCAGAGAGAAACTGCCTGTGTTTAGGTGACAGATGCTATAGTCCACCTCAGCAGCATCAAGTTCCAGCTGGCTACTGGCATGGCTCGTCCTGTGCTGGCTGTGATTTACCATTTTCTCTGGGGTGCAGATGGATAATACTGTTTTAAAGAGGCCTAGGAGTACCAGGAGTTCTTGCTTCTGTTCCAGGCCCATTAGACTGTTCCCTACATCTGGCTGCAATAAACTCTTGCCATATATCCATGTTCATAATCACTGTACTTCCTGTGCTGAAAAGTGGCCACTTTTTAAAAAAAAAGATTTGTTTATTTATTTGACAGAGCATGCACGCGCACCCATGCATGCACAAGCAGGGGGAGTGACAGGGAAGGAGAAGCAGGCTCACCGCCAAGCAGGAACCCCAAAGCAGGGCTCTATCCCAGGACACTGGGATCATGACCCGAGCCGAAGGCAGATGCCCAACTGACTGAGCCACCCAGGCACACTGAAAAGTGGCCACTTCTGAGAGTGGACTTCATTTTCCTTTCTGTTTAGAACTCTTGACTCATGTCACAGTCTTGTAGGCCCAGTAGTCATCTGCAGGTGAAAGGATTAATGATGCTGAGCTTCATGCTGGATTTAAGTCTAAATGTCCATGATAGTCTCCAGCAGAGTAGCAAGTGGAACCTGTTTTCTCTTAGAGGTCCAGTGACCAGTTGGGTGGTTGCCCTTCAGATTATAATTGGGCTGAAAGATGCAGTGTGTTCAGCTAAGAAAGCACCTTGGTGCCAGGGAGGTTTGCCCCTTCATAATGTAGCTGTGGTATATAAGCCTTGTCTCCCAAGGAGACTGACAGTGGGGCAATGGAATGAGAGAGAAAAGAGAGAGAGACTGCTTCAGTTTTTGGAAGAAAGATAAAATTGCTGGGAGGAACTTTTAGAAGCAGAAAGTTGCTGTGTAGTTTGATGTTACTGTAAGCCAAAACCTGGTTTCTCAGTTCCTTTTGCTATTCCCTCAACCCTTTTGAACAGTCTGGTTCTGGGGGTGCTTTTCCATAAAGCCTTTGATCTTTGAAATAATTATTTAAATAAATGTTAGGAAGTTGCTAGGAGATGAAAACACTGTGCAGGGAGAGAGTGTTTTCTAGAATGGGAGGAGGGGAAGACTTAAGGGAAAAGAAGGCTAGGAATCTTACAGCAGATCAGCTTTTGGGAAACAAGGACTCCAGGGTTTAGAGTATAATGGGGCTCCATGATGATAAGGATTATAGCTTATATGCTAAGTCTTTGAAAACTTTAAGATTTTCTCTCTGAGATATGGGCTTGCCTATGCCTTAATTGGTTTGGAAATGTTCCTTCTATGTGGGGACAACCAACAGAACTAAAACAGCAAAACATGTTTTGATACAATCTGGGAATTGTATACCCTGAGCTGGGAGCTATCATGAAAAAAGAAAACTCATAAAATTTGGGAAGTGTCTTGACTGATGTCTCCCCCTAACCATGTCCGCCTACCCTCCCCACCCCTCACCACCTTGGAAACAGGGGAGAAGACAAATAGAGTTTGTGGAGTAGGGTAGAATTGTCACGTGTCTACCTAGCTAATGAGGGTGATTTGAGTATTCAAATTATCCACCTCAGGACCTTCTTTCTCTTCAAGGTAAGTATCTCAGGCTGTGGCTGAGGGAATTTCCTATTAGCCAAGAATGTGGATTTCCCTTCATGGGATCCCACTTAGGCTCCACCACACCTTTCTCTGGAAGGGCTCACTGTGCTGTTTCCCAGAGTTCTAGGAGAGACCAGAATGGCTCTTAGCAACTGCTGCTGCCCTGAATTGTTACTGAACACTCCTGCTCATACTTCCTGCCAGCTAAAGAGATGGGGGAGGGAATGTTGAGGAATAAACAAGACAGAGCCTTTCGGCTCCTGCCTGTTCCCTTGCCTTTGGTTTGATTGATAGATTGTTAAGTTAGGGATGGAAGGGGAGGAAGGGTTCCTGCCTGAATGTTCCAAGCTTAGAGCTTAGTGCTTGCATTGCCACTCTGACAGGCAAGAAAAAAAAGAATTTACAAACTATAGAAGGCAGTGATGTATCTGTGCTGAGTCTGTCCCGCGGTATGGACTCTTGTCAGAATCAGGACTTAAACCAGGAATTTAAGGTGAGACTCATTTTTTCAAATCATATAAAGTAACCAGTAGGCTCTAGTGGCTAAAGGATCTAGAGGTTTGCAACCAGAAGCTCCCCTGGCCTCTTTAGCTGCTTTTTTTGATCTTGCAAGGTAGGAAGAGTCTGCACTCCTGTTTTGGGTCTCAGCTTCTGCTACTCTCAGACTGCTACATATATTACCACTTCCCCCCTTACTTTAGGATACAAAAAAAGAAAAAAAAAACCCTCCATTAAGTGTGCTCTTTGCTCTTTCCCCTTCTGATCATGCTTGCTATCATATCCTGTGTTCTAAGAGCATCTTCCTTTGCCCTTGGTTTTGTTTTCCTGCCCTAGTTTATGCCTTCCAGCTCAGTTCTCTCGTGTTAAATCCCTCATTGCCCAATCAAGGTCAGGTCTTTTTTTCCTTCTGATTCAAGGCTTTCTCTCTTAAAGCCTCCTCCTTCACTAGCTGTTCCTTCTCAGCTATTGATGGCATAGCAGTCAGCCATGCTTCCTGAAGCCAAATGCCCTCAAGCATTTTCCTACATGGAAAAAATTAAAAAGAAATTGATATTTATGTGGGACAGAGATGCAACAGAGCCTGAGCTTAATTTATTTTTTCTTCAGTAGCTCTGTTTTCCATCTGGGTGTTGTAATTCAAGGAGGGCCTACAGAAAAATTATCTTGTCCAATCTCCTCATTTTATGGAAGAAGAAACTAAGACCAGGGAGGTCATGTGACTTGCCTAGGCTTTCACAGGTAGTAGCAAAGTCAGGCTTAGACACCAGGTTTTTGGTGTCTAAGTTCTTATGGCATATTGTTATTCTGGGGTATTTAAAAAGTCTTCAGCTGTTATGAGGGATTCTCTGTTTTCCCATTCAAAAAACTACCTTAGAAACATTGGATGTAAGTTCTCAGATACTCTTGAAACTGTTTTCATTGTTTTTCATACTGATTTTAACGGTGTAGATGCTTAATAAACAAAGGATCCTTGAGTTTAGATTTCCTTGGTATGAAGATGTTTGCAAAGAACTATTTACAGCTGGTGTTAAACCTATCCTATCATCCTGTTAAATATAAGGAGGAAAAGTTACTTTTAAACTGCTACTTTGAGCTTGGTTTTGTGTGTGTGTGTGTTTTCTGGAATATTGCATTCAGATTTCCATTGTAATCGTTGAGGCATTGCCATTTCTTTGCAACTGCAGGTAAGAGAAAAAACCCTATTGCTTCTTGGACATATCACTAGTAGGCAGACCTTAAATGTATTGTGGATATTAACTGTTTTATAAAGACATGATATATACTGTTGAATACCATTTATTCAGTACATTAACTGAGTGCATTTTGTTTATTTTTATTTAAAAAATGTAATTGGGTGCCTGGGTGGCTCAGTTGGTTAAGCAACTGCCTTCGGCTCAGGTTATGATCCTGGAGTCTCGGGATCGAATCCCGCATCAGGCTCCCTGCTGAGTGGGGAGTCTGCTTCTCCCTCTGACCCTCTCCCCTCTCATGTACTCTCTCTATCTCATTCTCTCTCTCAAATAAATAAATATTTAAAAAAAATAAAAAATGTAATTGA